TGTCTTTCTGAAACAGAGACTTAAACGGAGGTTTCGTTTCTTCCCTTCTATCAGAAATCCCTAGAGTCCACTTCCAAAGTAAACCACTCCTGCATCAGAAGATTGGCTTTCCTATAACTGGCTCAAAATACCTGGCAATCCGCCATCACCTGTGGGGTGCTGGTTTTCACCTGGCTCAGAATTTCAATTTCCGGTTGTATTTTGCCTTTAATTTGCAATTATCTTGACTCTCTGGTGGGTGATATGAGTACACACGTGAGACTGTGCACATATATATTTACTTACGTGTTTAATAAAAATGTTATTTTCATGAAAATAAAATATGCTCATTCAAAATATTCAACTAATAGAAAAACTCAGGAAATTAGTCAAAAGAACCTGATACGCTAACAAAAAACTTCATTGTTATCATTTGATGAGCATCACTGTGGTGATATACCTGCAGATTTCACTTAGATAAATATAGTAGGAAAAGAAAGAGAAGTAAATACATACATTAGATGCCAAATAGATAGAAGAAGAGGTGAATGGGTAGACAAAAAGTAAATTGCAATAGTTTACTGAATGGTAAGTGACATATTTTACTAGGATTTAAAAACACTGTAAAGTGCAATTAAAGGATGGTTCTTTCAGTACTAAGAAAATATTTTAAGATGGCACTATAACTGGGCCTATTAAAAGCATTAAAAAGTGGAACCTGTTATTTTCACCAACTTGGTCAAATTTGGATGTGTTTACTCCCTGTTATAACATATGAACACTTTGTAATACTTTCTTTCATCTCTTCATTGCACTTACATATATTGTTTTTTATATATAGTTAATTGTAGTATCATTAACAGAATCTATAGTATTTCTTAGTGTACACCGATGAGTCTCCACAATTTAATTTTAGTCTATATTAAAACTAACTTGGACCCTTCTGTCCACACAATACATGTCCATCCACTGACGAGACACATTATCACTCAGAGAGTAGCGATTAGTTAGGGTCAGAGAGAAGCAAGTTCCTGTGCTTAGGGACCCAGAGCCAAGCAATGAGGAATCCAAGGAGCAGTGAACTGCAGTGGAGTGCAGTGGTTATGACCTGTGTGATCCAGGGGTGGAGAAAAGACACTGGAGCAGTGCCAAAGTAGGCACTCTCCTTCCGGTCCCCAAATACTGACGCGCTCTGTGCCCTGAGGTTCCTGCCTGCCCCTCACCCTGCAAACTCAGCTAAGCTCAGTGCTGATGCAGGATCCATCCCACTGCCCACCAAAAGCTGCTGAGCCCTGCCCCTACGTGAGCTCCCTTCCTCTGGCCCCCAAACACTACTGAGTTCTTAGCAGGTTCCACTGAGCCTGAAATAACACTGAATTCATGATCTCTTGCAGATCACAGAAAAATGAAACTAAAAATCAACACACACACAAAAACAGAAAATACACAAGCACATGGTATTAAATAATACACTCTTGAATGATCAACAGGTCACAGAAGAAATCAGGTATTATTCTTGAAGAAAAAAACAGGTAAAACTCTTAAAGATAGTGATTGGTAGGACTTTCTGGAATGAACACTGATTATAGAAGAATCAATACCAGAAATCAGAAATGCAATTATATCAAATTAAAAATCATTTCTATGGTAAAAACCCAACAGAGTGAAGAGACAAGCTACAAAACGTGGAAGAATTTCTGCCAGCTACTATTCAGACAGAGGAATAATATCTAGAATATATAAAGAACTCAAAAAATATCAGACCTCATAAAATAAAAGACCCAATCAAAAAGGGCAATTGAAATAGACACTTCTCAAAAGAAGTACAGGGCTGGGGATTTAGCTTAGTGATGCCACCACCTGCCTTGCAAGTACAAGGTCCTGAGTTCAATCCCCAGTACCAAAAAAAAACCAAAAACAATATATGTATATTCAAAAGAAGTACCAAAGGTGAATAATTAAATGAAAAATGTTCAGCATTTGACCATTAAAGAATTGTAAATCAAAACAACACTGAGATTCCATCTTACTTCGGTAAGGATGACTAATATTAAGGACTCAAAAATATTGTAACAAGGTAAAAGGAACCCTTCTATGTTGTTGATGGAAATGTAAACAAGTACAACCACTACGAAAATCAGTATGGAGACTTCTCAAAAAACTAAAACTAGAAATTCCACTGGACCCTTCTACTCCTCTTATAGATGTCTTCCTGAAAGAGTTATAAAGACATCATACTGCAATAATACATGCATACTCATGTTTATAGCAGCAAAATCCATAATAGCTAAATCTTAAAAGTGGCCAACAGATAAATCGATGAATTAAATGTGGTATATCTCCACAGTGCAACATTAAAGGAAATATGGAAAGAAAATGTGGTGCGCGCGGATGCACACACACACACACACACACACACACACGCACAATGGGGTACAGCTTAACCACAAAGAATAAATTTGCAGAAATCCATTCACTGTGGCAAAATGAATGGATCCTGAAACCATAATTTTAGGCAAGATAAATCAGGCAACGAAGGCTAAATACCACATGGTTTGTCCTAGTAGAACCCCAAATATAAATAATTTAAAGAGTGAAAATAAAAAGGTAGGAAACTGGGAAGTAGACTTTGTGACTATGGGAAGGGGATCTCGGGAAGAACGTAGAGGAGAGGGTCAGAGGGAGGAAAAATGGTTAAGACACAATATGTAATTACAACAAAGTGGTTTCAACGAGAAATGGAACTGACGTAAAGGCCCGCTGGCAGATCAAACAGAACTGTCAGAAAACTACACAACTTTCCTAGTACTAGCAGAAGTGCCACACACAGCTGAGAACTGCCTTCTGGTTTTGAGTAGTTAACATGCATTGACTTGGCCAGAGTGTTTTGCAGATCCAGTTTATCTTACTGTTTACTTAAGAGGGGAACTGTTTAAATACTTCTACCTATATATTCAAAAGAACTGAAAGCAGGATTTCCATGGAATAGTCATACACTTATGTTCACAGTGGGATTATTCACAATAGCCAAGAGGCAGAAACAACCCCAAAAAGTCCACCGACAGATGAATAAATAAATAAAATGTAGTATAATCACACAATAGAGTTTTATTTAAAATGGAAGCTAATGTTATCATGGGCCATAATATAAGTAAACCTTGACAACATTATGCTATGCAAAATGAGCCAGACACAAAAATGTAATAGTATAGGATTGATATTCAAATTAAATTAGTATTCAAATTAACAATGAAAGTTAAATGGTGGTTACTAGCTGTAAGGGAGGAAGGAAATGTAGAATTGTTCAGAGAACAGTTTCACTATTGCAAACTTTAATTTTAGAAAAGTTTTCTAGAGCTATTAGACAGAAATGTGAATATACTTAACACTGCTGAACTGTATGTTCACTTAAAAATGGTTAAGATGGTAAATTTCATGTTATGTGTTTTCACCTAAAAGTAATTTCTAAAAGATTTTTTAAACTTACTCAATAATCCATTTATATGTGAGCCAAATTTTTTCTAATCATGAAATTAACATTTTGTCTGAGCATGTTTTTTACAAGACACTATTCAATGAGTATATAAACTGTAGTGTATCCAAACAATGAAATGTTACTTAAGGTTACAATAAAAACAGAGAGAGCTATCAAGCTGAGAAAAGACTTATAGGAAACTTGTATTGATACAACTAAATGAAAGAACCCAATCCGAAAAGCCTATTTAATATATGCTTGCAACTGTAAGATATTCTAGAAAAGGAAAAAGATTGATGTTTCCTAGGGGCTTGGTAAGAAGGAGGGAAAAACAAGCAGAAATTGAGCATTTGAGGACAATAAAACCATTCTGTATGATAGTGTAGTGTTGGGTCCATGTCATTCAAGAGCAAACCCTAACATAAACTATGGACTCTGGTGCTCATGTACCAGCCTAGGTTCATCAATTACAGCAAACACACTGCTCTGCTGTGAGGTGTTGATATTCCAAGGTATGATGGCTTACTTTAGGTGTCATCTTGAATGGGTTAATGGAAATCCACATAGCTAGCGCGTAAAATATTGTTTCTCGATGTGTTTACAGGGGGTTTACTGAAAAATTAGCATTGGAATCAGTAGACTGAATAAAGAGCACCTGCCTCCACTAACATAGGCTTGCATCATCCAGTCATAAATAGAACAAAAAGTCTTTGTAAATAGGGAAGGGTGCAGGGGGTGAAGGGAGGGCAAGGGTATGGGCAAAAAAATAAGAACCAAGACCTGTCATGTAGAGGTACAAGATCCCAGTGATAAATGTAACTGTACTGTTTGCTTTAAATGTACCAATAAACTTAATGGGGAAAAATAAAATAAATAGAACAAAAAGGTGGGAAAGCACAAATGCTCTCCTAGAGCTGGGGCGTACATTTTCTGCTCGCACACTGGTACTGCAGGTTCCCTGGCTTTGGAACTCTGAGTGCTAACACCAGGACCTCCTGGTCCCGGCTATCCCCAGTGCTTAGAGCTTAGCCTTGGACAGGCAGCTACTTCACTGGATTCACTGGTTCCAAGGCCTCGGGCACTGAGTTTCTCCAGGTCCTCCTGCTTGGAAACAGCAAATCTTGGCACTTCTCAGCTTCATGGTCCCATGAGCCAATTCCCAAAATGAATCTCATATATGTCTACATACACCCTGTTAGTTTGGTTTCTCTGGAGAACGCTGATACTGGGAGGCTGTGCGTGTGTATGAACAGGAAGCATTTGGGAACTGTGCACTTACTGCTCAGTTTTGCTGTGAACCTAACACTGCTGTAAAAGTTAAAGGAAAAGACTCTACTAAACACCATATCTATAGATATTACCAAATCTGAGCAGCACTCAGGCTGACTTTGCTCAATGAGTTTTTACTTATTAAGTAAGCATTTTACCTTAAAAACTGACGGATAATGCTCAATGCCCAAATTACCATATTTGAGTGAAATTTTTAGGAAAAACGATGAAAAGTTATTACTAAATGATTACAACACTTTAAAAATCTCCAACTCACATCGCGTGTAGAATACAGTCCTTCACTGCTTTCTGGACCCAAGAGTTTCTTCATGTTTTCCTTTATGTTCTCTTTTCTCTGTTGTCTGAACATTTTCTCCTGATCACATAGAGCCATACTGAATCGTAGGTCAGGGCATGAACTGTGACAGAAAACAAAGTCATGAGCCAGTGTTTCCACTTTCCTTTCTTTGCATGCAGAGGGCCCCCTCAAGTTCCCAGGCGCTGCACAGATACACGTGGATTGCTTCTCTCAAGCCATTTCCTGGGAAGAACCCTAAAGCAGAGTACAAAATGGTGGCAATTTCAAAGCAATATGTTCCAAACCATGTTTTGGGGGCAAAAAAGAAAAAGAAATCTGAGATGTTTGGAAAAGACAAACAAGCAAACAGCCTCTAATAAATTGCACATGAGGTTAAAAATGATTTCAGAAGCTGGTTCAGTAAAGAACCCTGTTTATATTTCTTTGGCACAACATTTCCAATTCTTCCTTAATCAGGAATATGTTCCTCTTCCCTAACCACCACCACGCCATCATCAACCTTCACTAACACCCCGAGAGCTTGGGTTCTATGGATACATTTGCAGAAGCACTGGATTGATAAACTGCTTTGTCTGACAGATGCCTTTCTCTGACAAAGAAAGAAACTTCTAATAGTAGAGCTTGAGATGACCACAAATGTGTTGACAGCTAAAGGACTTTGGAACCCTTTAATTATATCCATTCTTCCTTTTCTAATAATGGCAGCCACAATTTCTCATAAGTCTATACACACAAGAAGTTATATTACTTGCAATGTATGCATCCCTGTGGTGATTAAAGCAATAAACATTACTCATTACTATACAAATATCATTATATATTATAGCTCTACACATTGGAAAACTGAAGCTTTGAAAGGTTAGGACCACATGGTAAATACATGACTTAGTTTCCAGCAAGCAACAAAGCCTCCCTCACAAATAAGACATCCTCATGTCTTACTGCTGAATACTAAGTATCAGCTGCTGAATTTAAAATATTTTTTAAAGGAATTAGCAATCTGTATCAGAATCTTGGAATGTGAGTAAATAAAAATGCAGAAGCACAGTAATACCAATAGAAACACTCTCTTTTAACCATTCATAAAAGTAAATCTTCCCCTTAATAATAAATCCACTCTGTCTCATTGTTCATTAGTTCCTGGTAAAAGACAGGATCAGAAAAGAAAGCCCAAAACCTTTGAACTATATTTTCTATAGTGACATATGATCACTACAAAATATTCAAAATAAAAGAATATATTGGAATAATAAAGATGAAATTTAAACTAGCCATTTCCTCTAAGGAGAAGAAAAGGCAATAAAATTGAGAATTTACAGGACAGCTGTATGAGTGAAATTTATTTCCTAATGTGGTTAGAAGATACCAAAGGAAATAAATCATAGAAAATAGAAAACATTTAGCCCAAGACTAGTCTTAAAAAATATAAATTCACTGTTTTGCTTTATTGCACTCATTATATACTTTTCATAATATTTAGGTTTAATAACTACATGAATAAATGCTTTGCTATACTATAATTTAATTGACTATTTTCTTAGTGTTGAATAATGAGCAAATAATTTTTTCAAAATTTACAACCATGTTCCTTAAAGTAAATATCCAGCAACAGCATTACTAAGTTCAAAGGTAATAGACAGTTTATTTGTAGTGTTCACTGCCTAGCTGACTTCAAACTGTTTTGCAAATTTCTATTCCAAATGAATGTATGAGAACAATAGCATTATGTGAGCTTTTCTAGGACTGGAAAATAAATACTTAAGAGATTTTTTAAATTATAAGTTTGCTAACAGTTTTAGTTTAATTTGCTGGTAAAATAAAATATTTATTCCTACATTTCTCATTATTAATTATGTTTTCTGTTTAGTGAATTGGATAATTTATTTTTGAGGAAATAATGATTAAAATATTTTTGAAATGATCATACATCACTATACTGAATGATGCCCAGAAGTTTTGTGGTTTCTTCTCTTTTTCTGTATTTTATGAGGAAGTAATTATTACTTCCCTCAAAATATTACCATTATGATTTTTTAATTATGTAGCAAAAAAGAGTTAACTAAAGAAAAGCAAATCAAGTTACACTTTCATATATTCAAAGCAGTTGAAATTACTTTGGATATAAAAATTCATCTTTAACAAAATAATCAATGGATCATTCACAATATTTTCCTTCCCATTAAATAAATGAACTTACCAAACTTCAAGAGACATTTCTAGAATCATTTCTGTAACCTAGAAAAGACATATGAATCAGATTAGATCATAAAATTGATGTGTTTTATATAATGAAAATAAAGTCAAGATCAATTTAAGTGCCACAGTAGCCGAGATACAGAGCATCTATGTGCCAATCAACATGAATGGATAGAGAACATATATTCAGCATGAGGAAAAATAAAATTCTATCATCTGCGGGAAAATGATTAGATGTAGACACCATCATGTTGAGCACAAATAAGCCGCTCAGAAAGGCAAATATTTCATGTTCTCCCTCATATGTGGAATCTAAGTGATGCCAAGCAAAGGAGAAGGGAAGACTAGTATGAGTCTAGGGGAAAGGAATCAGATGGGGCCCTGGTGGGTAATGAGGGGATAGATATGAGCAAAATGCATTACATACATTGATGCTCCCCAAAAAAGTAAAACCAGGAGGGAGGATGGGCAAAGGGGTCAACGGGGAAGAGTAAAAATGATCAAATATGTTACATGTACGTAAGGACCTGTGAAAAGAAAACATTAAATTGTACAACAACTAAAAAAGTGAAAAAATGCAATATCAAATTATTTTAACCTAAAAAAACCTAAAAAGTAATACAATTCCATAAAGTTCCTAAACTATGGATCCATTTCAATACATAGTAATTTTGCTTTTTTACAATCTAAGCCTACTTACTAAATTGTTTTAACATCCATAAGCATTGTCTCTGCCTGTTTTCTGCTCTCACCAAAACAAAAGTAGTTTAGTCTACAATTACTATTCACAAAACATTTAAAAATGCCTGAGACATAAAAATAAGCCATATTAAGATAGTGAATCTGTTATATTTTAAAGAATGGGAAAAAATGTAATAGGAGCTTTCCAGAAGATTCAAGCAAGTCCACAGATAATCCTCAGTAGGAGTTTTAAGAGCAAACAAAATGAACTGAAATCATCTGTGCAAAAATTTACCTGTCCCACTAAACTAACTTCCAACTTGAATAGGTTTCTAATACCAGTTCATTACTTAGTATTTGGCATTCGATAGACATTTGTTCAGTTACTGGACATGTGAGTTTGAGGAGAACCGCATTGGACAATCTTCTCTTGTTGCAAAATACCCGACCCCTACTATAGACAAAATATTTTTGGTCTGACTCAGTATTTCATTATGTCAAATATATTAGAATTTATTATTAGAACTCAATATTATTAGAACTCAATATGTAAATAAAAGGAAAATCAACCATTCTGTTGATGGCCATATTTGGTTCTCATAAAAAATGGCAATTCTGTGTTCATCAACATTTCTTGGTTTGCATATTAACAATCCTTTAACTCTTTAAGCAAAGACAGGATGAGAGAAGACAAGATTTTCTGTTCTTCTTGAATGTATAGCGTGTGTTGCCGTAAGTCCTGCTGAATGGATGGAATCCTCACTTCCTTCAGCTGCCCCAACGGAATACAAACAAGCAGGAAGAAATTGTAAACTATTTTCTCCCACCTGGTGCACTGTGTCCAGACATGCTGAGAAGCCTGACATTCATAATCTCTCTGCGCCTTTTACCGGAAGGTGTCATTCAGATAAAATAGCAACACAAGCATGTTGTGCCTGTGAGGCATTAAACAATTACTATAAACTCCTTCCTACACACCACACAAAGCATCTCTGCATTATTCCGCGTTGCTTGCATTATCTGGACAATTAGAGGCAAGAGTGACAAAATCTCCCAGGCTCTCCCGAACCCCATAAAGCCTCAGCAAGAAGCAGAACAAATGAGAACTCTACCTCTTAGGAATGATAAACGTACAAAGTAGGCTAATACGCACTATGGTGGGAAACAAAAAGGTCTTCTTTGGATTCTAAAATGAAAAACAATTTTGATACTTATAAGGGAAGGTGTTCAGCTGGAAGACATGGGAAAAATCAGAAGACAGAAATTATTTTTAGAAAAATTCATGTCAGGCTTTAAAATAATATTTAAAGTATCTAACGTAGTAATACTCTTGTAAACTTTCAAGAGTTGTTTTGAAATAATTAAGCTAAAACAACAAACAGTGCCTGGCAATGAGGATGTATTTTAAAATTTTATTACATAAAAAAGGCACAGTCAAATAATTTTAAATTTAGCAATCTCTCCTACTAGTAAAAAGTTAAAAAAAAAAAGTTCTTCAAGTACATCACACATCCTCTTATATACTGTGATATTTACATTGTTTCCTCTCAATGACATTATTTCAAATTCTGATCACAGTGAAACTTTTTTTTTTTAACGTAGAAACACACAGCAGATAATCACCATTTTGATTCACTCTTTGGCCCTTTCAAGAGAAGTACATACTTTCTGCTATACCTGTAGTTACATGATTTGTACAAGGTAATGAAAAAGTGAAATTGTAAAAGCAAAGGTCATGTTTACTAAGAGTTTTTTCATACATGTAACTCCATCTCACAATGAAGAACAAGTGTAAATCTGACTGGAGGCAGCTCAGGTGCAGCAATTCCAGCTAGATCACATCTACATAGTTTTTCTATGTCTAAAATTAAATCCCACATCAATACAATCATTTCAATATACACAGAATTTGATAGCCAAAATTAGTATTTCTTGCCAGGGATATGTCAGCCAAGAATTCCAGATTTGAAAGATTTAAAAAATGCAGGACTCTGTTCTACTATGTCACATAAAGTTTCCTCTTTACTTTTGATGGTTATCTTATATTTTAAGGTCTTTTTTTCCTTATATGGACATCAGTGGAAATTATGAAGAGATGTGTAATCATTAGCTTTCATATAATAAACCAGATTTCCTACAGTACTATTATCAAACTTCTCTACTATCTTTTCTTCAAATGAGAATACTTCAGTTTCTCTAGCTTTTCTCTCTTAAAATATGAAAGTAAATGTTTTTCATTACTCCTTTCAGAGCATTCCCTAAGTTTTCAGAACTTCACATAGGTGCATTTGTTTACTCTTACCCAAAAATTATTCAGGCACCCATGCCTGGTATGGTATCTGTGATGGTAATAAGCAGGATGTGTTCCACTCTTTGACAGAACTTACTATCCAACAGAGACCCTAAGGAGGCCAGAGCATTTGAAAATGATCTATATTTAAAAGGTCTTGATTGCAGAAGAATAAACAACAATAACAAAAAAAAAGCCACTTGAGTTTTCACTGTTAACAACCCAAACAAAAAATGGAATCTCTGTTAAACCCAGGAATTGTTTGACCCATGTTTGAACTCTCTCCTAAATGAAACCCTGACGACCTTCATATCTTAGCAGATCTCCCAAACTTCCCATAATGTTACATCCTTCACTTAGGGTGGGATCGGGTGTTGAAAAGCCCATAGATTGAAAATCTAAGTTAAAATGCATGGAATATACCTAACTAACCAGAACACCACAGCTTAGCAAAGCAGAACATTGTAAAGTGTTGGTTGTTTCCCTGATGAGGGTGTACCTAGCTAAGTGAGAGCTGAAGCTCCTGAGCTGCCCAGCATCATGAAAGAGTACCATCCTCCCTATGGTTAGCCCAAGAAAAGAGCAAACTTCAAAATTTGAAAAATGGTGTCTACTGAATGTGCATCTTTAGCTCAGGGGATCTGGCTCCTGCCTCACAAGTGCAAGGGCCCAAGTTCGATCCCTGGTATCAAAAAAAGAAAACTCCATCCCTGCAAATGCAAGGTGGAGCAAGAACGCACTATCTTTAAAATGGAATATTCCAAGTTGAACTAGTAAACTGGCGACCATCTATAGTTCTCTTGTTTTCCTTCCAACCTCCTTTTTCTCCACTTAACTTACCTAAATTATAGACTTTGTCATCACACATCAATGCATAATTCCTCAATGAAATCATCCTGATACTATCTTAACAGTCTAAATTTTCTGAATTTACCATCAAAACTTTTCCACTTCTCAGAACTACTTTATTCATCTTCAAGTCATAATCATGACTAAAAAGCAAAAAAAAAAAAAAAAAAAAAAATCCAGTCAATCAAATTAGACAAACGCCACAGAAGCCATGAAACATGACTATTTTTAAACAATAATACTAACTTCTAAATAAAGATGGTAAAAGAAAGCACAATGTATACCTACAGGTTAAAAGTATTGGCCAAAACAAACATCACCAGAAAAATAAAGGACCATAATCTTTCTGCCTTCAAAACTATTTTCATGGTTTTTTTGAAGGAGGCTATTTTGTCTACTCAAAACACAACTTCCTTTATTTTTCTTCTTCTTTTTTGAGTCAGAGTCTCACCATATATTTTCTGCTGGCCTTGAACTTACTGTGAGGCCCACACTGGCTTTGAACTTGCAGCAGTCCTGCTACCTCAACCTCCCAAATTCTAGAATTACAGGTGCTCAAAACACATTAAATTCCTAAGATTTGATGTCTTTTCACTTTAACATGGGCTATTGTAACCCAACACCACATTTGATGCAAAACTAGAGTGTTCTGAACTCATCAAGCAAATGATCACTCAACTTATAGGTTCTTCTTGTACTTAACAAATTTATTTTTGTCAAAAATGAAGTTTAATACCTAGTGAAGTAAGTTTCATGAAGCACGTGATACATGTTTACATCTGGCCAGTTACAATTATAATAAGAACATCTGATATTTATGTCGTGATTGCTGAGCCAAGCACTGTTAATAATTTCCACGAATTAAACTATTTAACCATAACCACAGCCCTAGGAAGGAGGTACTATACCTAACACTGTTTTGCAAAGAGGATGCATGGCAAAGGGAAAAAAATAACAAGTCCAACATCACACAGCTAATTATGGGCAGGAATCGTGATTCCCACCCATGTAGAGGCCACTGGACTCTCAGCCTGGGATGAAAGCAGCCGGCTTCCCTGGCTTCTCTCAGATGATAACCATGAAGCTTTCTAAACTCTGACTCCAGTGCTCACTTAGGCAGCACATATACTAACCTCTGACTCCAACAACCTAACTAGACTTTCTGGATGTTACTTGGAGAACAAAAACTGTGAATCCAACTCTAAGGTTGACTTTCTCC